AAAAAAAACAAACTATATTGCAAATTACAAGGTATAGTTTACAGTTTAATTTTTAGTTATACGCTATTCAAGAGGTTTATTATCATGTGTACACCTCTTGAATCTTGAATCTATATGCAGTATGCAGTAAAATATTTTAAGTGTATATATTTTATATTAAACCTTAACATTATGGCCTGCATGCCTTAACAGCCATTTGATGAGACAGCAACATAAAATACTAATCACTAAAATTTAAGATACATCTTTTTTTTAAATTATGCCAGCAGATCAGATGGTATTATAGCACTCATACTGTATTTCTCCAGCACTACAGTGAAGTAAAATTAATTCTCTTTACAGAAACAGGGGTATTGCCAAAAGCAATCCAAAATTATCACGTGGATCCCACAGAAAAACTCTGTGCTCTGTCTTTGAAATCCATAAAGTTTTTGTATTTCGTCTGAAGTTTGGCCCTTTCACTCAGCTTTTCCATAATTGAAGCACATAAATAATTGTACAGAGAGAGATTATGATGAATAATTCTAGTTCATATGTGAAGCTGTTTCGTGTTGTCCCCCTTGCTGTTGTCATGTGAAAATGAATAAATTGATGTTGGAGTAGCTACTAAGATGTATTGAATGTGTCAATGCAGTAAGCATTTTTTTTGTTTCTGTCTTTTCTGTCTTTTCTGTCTGCCAGACGTTCTGCTGCCTCCCCTGACTGACGAAGTGTGACACCGAGCCAAGTTTGACTACTGATAGATTACAGGTAGCAGTTAATACATTAATCTCAACTCTGCTCAACAGAGCTCAACACTACCTGTTTCTTGCCTCTTTCTGTTTCTCTTTCACTTAATCTTTTGCTGGAGGAGGGAATTTCATTTCATTAATTTTCTAAAATCCAGGTCCCGCAATCAGCTGGAAATATTGTAACACAATGTAAACATGCATGTAAAATACAATGATGGCCAAGCAGATGCAATAAATGTAATTACCTACATATACAGTCATTTTTAAATGAGAGCTGAAGTATCAACAACAATATTTATATTTACAGATAATATATTTGACTATCTAAACTCTGTCACACTAAGTTTCAAAATATATCACCACTGATTTGTTTTTTTATTTTTAAGGTTGAAAGTAACTTGAGAATGAATATTGCTCTGTGTCGAGAAGGGAAGACCAAAAATGGTGAGAAAAGGGGAGAATTTGTATTAACATGATGTAAATTAGCTCAGAGAAAAGACACAAAACTAGGATTCATTAGAGTTCATTAGTTCTCATGCTGTAATAATTCTCTTCAAGAAAGGGATCCATTTCATGAGCAGCGGTCTGTAATTTAGCCTGGAACTGTATTAGCTCAGCTTCTCATCAAGCTGTCTGAAATGCATTAGCATCTAAAATTGGGCCGTCACTATAATCTTCAGTTTTAGAGGAGAGAATAAGTCTGTGGTGTTGTACATTATAGCTTTGCCTCATACATCGACTGTAGATTGTGTAAATATTTTCACACAAATCTGCAGTCTTAGGTTTAATCACAAGTTAAAGTCATACAAAAGATCTCATGCATCTCAAATAGAACTCATTTCACCTCTCTCACTGAGCAGTTCTCAATAACTTCCAAAGTAAATTTAAAATAAATGTTCCTTCCTAGTGAGTTCTCATATATAAAAGCTATGAAATGTATTGACATTCTTGGGAAGGTTCTTCAAATGTCAACCAAAGATAAACTTGAATAGCTGTGTAAAGATGCTAATTGAGTGAGGAAAATTCAAACATGCAGCTACTTTATATTATCACTTTAGGGTTACTCAGAGCCACTTTGTATGGACATGAAAACCATGTATCTCCTAGTTAAGTGATAAGGCTTTTTCAATGAATACATTTTCACGTCACAGTTGTGTAAACAGGCATATATGTTGAAGGAGTGCATGTTCTTTTATGTATCAAGGAAGTTCTCCAACACGTTTAACTCATTTAAACCCTTTAAAAATCCATTGGATAAGGGCACATCGGTAGCTCACCTGGTTGAGCTTGCACCCCATGTACCTCATGTAGCGGCGTGCGTTTGAGACCTCTGCTGCATGTCATCCCCCCTCTCTCCCCACTTTCCTGTCACTCTTTAGCTGCTCTGTCAAAATAAAGGCAATGAAGAGCTCCACCTCCCCCCCCCCAAAAAAATGCCACTGGGTTATCTTAACAATGTTCCCCAAAACAGGGTTGTTGACATGCACAGGCTAAATTTTACCACCTTGTATGATAAAGTCAACATGTTTATGTGACAAAGTAATCTGTCACTTGAACATAGTAGTTATGACAAGGAAAAAGGAAGAAATTATGTTGTTATACAGCAACAAAGAAAGTGTAGGAAGGAGGTCGGGGTGGATGGGTGGGTCTCTTTGTTTCTTGTTTTTAACTGTCAGTCAGTGTTATTTTTTTAAAGCATGTACCCTAACCTTAACCATGTGTTTATTATTGTTTCCATGACAACAAAGCTCCCCTAATCTTCTTAAAAAAGTTCCTTTTTTTAAGTCAATCCATGATTTTTCCCTAAACCGAACCAAGTTGTTTTCGTGCCTCAACATAAATGGAGCGAAGCCTGCGAGCTAGTTCAGGGAGTCAACTCGAGCTGCACTGTTATACACACACAACATGTCTCACACACTCCATAATCATAATAATAATAATAATAATAATAACCAAGCACTAACCCTTCCAATCTGGCGGTCTATTTAAGTTGCAAAATTTCACAGCTCTCCCTCTGCATCAGTATTGCTGCCTGCTGCTCTGTAAGCCCCACCACCACCCCAGCATCCACCTGTAGGCTCCGGCTAGGGGGTTTAAGGTATTTGCTCATCACTCCCCAATATCTCTATGTAAACATTTGTGGGGAATGATGAGGTCGGTCTCTTCCTTGTTCACACCCCACATCTACTGCGACACCCACACTATACTGCCTTAGTTCTTTTTATACCCCGAACCCCTCAGTGTGATATTTCCCATGCTACATCATTGTGGTTCCACCTACAGTTTTTGACTTTCTATCATAGCTTCAGTGCAAATAGTTTCCTGTTCCACCCTTCCACCTGCACCTTCAGCACTGGACAGACCGATTTCCCCGCAGATAATGTTCTACATAGAGATATTGGGGGAGTATCTTAAACCCCCTAACCGAGCCTACCAGGGCTGGATGCCTGGCTGGTGGGGGGGCCTTACAGAGCAGCAGCAGCAATTGACCAGAGCAGAGGGGAGAGCTGGGAAACCCTTGTGCAGTTAAATAGATCTGCCAGATTGGAAGGGTGTAATGGTTATTGATTATGGATTCATGGAGATTTAACCTTCCCAAGTTGACTGCCCTGAACTAAGCATCCTAAAGGGCTAAAACTGTTATACTTCCACTTCAGTTCATAATTAGATAGACTTGCCGATTAGGAACGGGTTACTTCAATTAATTAATCAAATAATTGAGGACTTTTGAAGCCTTTTCCAGGTTTTCTTTTCCCCCCAAATCCAATAATTGGTCTTGTGATCCGTTTCCCATCTTTTATAAACTGATTGTTAATTGTGATCTGTGCTGCCCCCTGATGTGGCTCGTGTGTTACAGTGGCTAGCAGGTCAGAATGGCTGGGAGTGAAGCCTTACACCTCTACACGATCTGTGCCTTAAAAGGACTCAACCAGTGGACATAAACTTGGCACCCCTACAGACACCATCCCATGGATACAATGGCAATTAAGTACCCAAAAATTGAGAAGAATCTGGTTTACGAGAGTGAGTAATCATGGACATATGGTGGGATACTAAAAACTTACCCCAGAGGTATTCAGGTCCGTGTGCCAGCTATCACTCTGTGGGTACACAACTACTGCACTCTCGAGACCCCACCCCCCATCACACGACCTGAAGAGAGAGCGACCTCAGCTGAGTACAAGTTCAGATTCATACAACAAACCAACTATGATGGGAAAATATACCTCGGTTCCACCTGGAGTCACTTTTGTCTGTCACAGGTAACATCTTTCATCTGAATATTTACCTTAATCTAATTCCAAGTGTGCTCAACATCCTTATGAAGGGTTTACGTTGTGTCCTGTGTGGTGTTTGCTATGTGTGGTGTATGCTTGACAAGTTCAGTCTAAAATGAAGACGTTCTGTCCTGATCTCACATATTCATGATCTCCAGGCTGCAGGTGACGCAGATCACACAGGTCTCCACCACGCTGCTTTTGACCGGGCCAGAGCTGAAGCCCTCGGTCACAGCAGTTGTCCGTCCATACCTGATCATCCTTCAACTCCAAAAGTCTGCGTACCAAGAATGGCACACGAAGATTGAGAGAGGCAACATCCTTCATATTCCAGCACTATGTATCCCTGCAGACAGCCTATTCCCTGTGCTGTAGAAGGATAAGTGAGAAGGCTTCCCCCTCTCCATCCAGTGTGTGAGTCTTACCACTTACAGTCCTTCCAAACCCTAACATCGAACACCATCTGATGGAGCCTTTAACCTTCTTCA